CAGTGGATAGAGCACTGGGCCTAAAGTCAAGAAGATCTGAGCTCAAATCCAACTTTAGACACGTATTGGCTGTGTGACTCTGAGCAAGTCATTTCACCTCTGTCAGCCTCAGTTTTCTCAAATATAAAGCAGGCAATAATAGCACCTACCTCTCACAACTATGAAGATCAAATCAGATAATATTTGTAAAGTGCCTGGCACGTTGTAGGCGTTTAATAAATATTAGCTTCCTTCCTTTCTTCAGCAAGTGGAAGCCTTCAGATATGAGATGGCTGAAGGAAAGAGGGGTCACTATTCCTTAGAATGAATGTGTAACTAAAGTTATACATACCTTAAGTTTTGAATCCTGTTAATTATATTTGTTTATTGAAAGATAACCTGTGCAGAAAGTACTTCACAACATTATGGGAAGCAGTGGTTCCCTTTTTCTTGCCAAGAAAGATCAAAGGTCTAAAGACTTCCATTTGGAATGTGAGGCCCTCAACAATCTGGTATCATTCTACTTTTCCAATCTGTTTTCTCCTCCATGTCCTCTGGCCAATTCAAACCACTTGCCAGCCCCCAGACACTCCGTACTTCACTGTTTCCCACCTCAGTTCACAAAATTCCATATGTCTGGAATATCCTTCCACTCTCCTGGCTGAACTCCTGTCCATCCTTTATGCCTAAGACCTCCCATGAAGCCTTCGCTGATGCTTCCCTAGGGGCCAATAACCCTCCTTCCCTAATGGATCATCTAGTTTGCTCCTGGTAATGGACTTTGCTATGCTACAGGTATGTGTATAAGTGTCAAATCACCATGTGCACACTAAATTCCATAACAAAAGAGATTATGTCCTACCTAAATCTTGCCTAGAAAGCACAATGCTCTGTACACAGTGGAAACTTAATAAATGTTTGCTGAATTTGTTTTGTTTGTGAAAGCGGCCTGGGAAAGGGTATGAAGCTGATAACTGAGGCATCTCCGACTCCTCTAAGTCCACTATTAGGAGCATGATGAAACATTTCTACAACTTCCAGAACTTCGGCAAAATGGACAAATGGGGTCCCCAGTAGCTACCTTTCCCGCCAGTTTTCACATCCCTCCCCTTCACGCAGGATACGCTCCGGGCATGCAGACCCTGGGAGCTGCTTCGGCTGCAGCCTCCTACAGGAAAGCTTCTTAGATTCCTCAAGTCGTACTGGTCTTTTCCTTCCTCACACCATCTTGTCTTTACATCCCCAATATGGTTTCATTTGTGTGTGTGTCCAACATCTAGTACAACGCCTTAAATATAGACGTTTAACCAATGCCAGGTGAGTGGCAAAGAAATGTAAGGCAAAGTCTTTTATTTCCTTTTTTAATAAGGTAAGAGAAGATTTTTTAAAAAATGTCAAAGGATTCAAATTGTCTAAACAGAAAAAAATGGAGACTGAAAAACCCAACTAAGCAAAGCATTACTTAAAATCTACAAAAAATAAACTCTGGAGATAAACATGCCTGTATGTGCATGTACACAGCGTTACCTGGGGAAGCACATAAATGAATGATTACGAGGTGTGGAAAGTGTTGACAGTTTATAAAAACATGCTCACTGTCAGTCTGAGGATGTAAATTAACTGCAGACAGGAAGTTGACAACAAATTTCTTATTCCTTACTGAGGATATGATAACTTCTGATCCTGACCACATCATAGGCTCTAACAAATCATTCTAACTGAATCCAAAGAGGGAAAAATAAAGAGAAAACAAGGGTTTTTGGTTTTTTTTGGAGAAAACTTTTGTAAACAACAGTTTTTTGAACAAAAGGGTTGACAAGACTTAATGACAGACCACTGAGTTCACCAGATTGTCCCAAACCATAATCTTATCCATTCTTACCAGGCTTGATGAGAGGAATCATTTCTTAACACCTTTACAGGAACTTTGATCTCTCCCAGAAAATTATCAGCCAAGTTTCCATTGTTCCATAAATCAACCCTGAAAAGTGAAAACCAATTTGTTTATTTTTTCAATGTAAGAAGACACACGCCACAAAAAAGCTTCAAACCATTGTAGCATTAATTTTACATGCTCAAAGTAGGAGGTGTTAGCACTGTCAGATACAGCTATCTAGAAAACAGAAAAAAATGCTGTAGTGGCTTTTATTTAGAAACAAAGAAAGCAACAATTTGTCAAAATTTAAAGCATAAATAAAATAACTGTCATTTAAATTTGTGCTCTTTTTACCTGCAGAAATCAGGACTACAGTGATTGTTGGATTTGAGAAAAGAAACACCAATAAAAATACTGTAATTTCTCTCAAGTAGTTGCAATCGATATTTAAATATAGTAAATTCAGTAGCACATATTGTCTGTATATTTTAATTACATGATTAATACAACCTTTAAAATGAACACACCATTAACACCACACTTATACATGCGATTTACAAAAAATTATTCTCTTAACCAAGCAATAGCTAAAATATTTGAGACCTAAGAAAGATAAGTGACTCCAAACACATGCACCTGGTTTAGTTATCTTACTGTACATCTTACCTCACTGACATTTCTGTTAGACAGCAGATATGTTAAGAGGAATAAGACAATTAATTCTTGAATGTGGTATTGTTGCTTTTCTAAATAATCTTTGCATCTATAATGTTATGGTTAAAAAACAGAAAGGTAATAAAATTTGAAGTAACAAAAATAAAAAATGTTCTAGAAGGCAATTTGGGTGGATATCTGTAAAATAAAATATACCTTGACTGTGGAAAAAACCTTTAAAATAAAAAAATTAAAATCTAAATAAGAAACTTTTAGAAGGAAAAAAACACTCTTAAATTAAAAGCTTTTGAAGAGACTTGTTATTTCAGTGGTGTGAGAGACTCTCAGTATGGAGCCTGCCTCTACGATGGAGTGCACCAACTCTGAAGTCCCTTATCATCTTTAGGAGCTGCCTGGGGGAACCGAGAGGCCGTTGACTTAGCCTTGGTCACACAGAGTAGGGGTCATGACTCCAAGCACCCCTCTAATTGCTCTACCACATTTCCTCTCTTTAACATTTCCTCTCAGTTTATAAGAAACTTTTTAAAAAGCAAGATGAGCTGTTTTCAACAATTTAGTAATTTTTAGTAAACATGGAAGCAACTTGGTTTCAATGACAATAAACATATTGAACACTCTACTTGTTCAAAGAGCTATGAATGGAGTCAGTAAGTATAGCAAATGCTTCTTTTTAATGGAAAGGATTTCCCTAGTAGACATGAATTTCTACCTACCCTTACTACACTGTCTGAATATGTAGTATTTCTATAGTTTTAACGAGATAAAGTTGGCAATTCTTTTGTTTAGATTTCTGAAATTATTTTGAAGACAGACATAAAACTCACCTTAGTTACTGAATCTCTTGCATATTAAGATTTTACAACTTCACTAGTAATAACAAATTTTTCTTTAAATGCATGGAAATAGTAATTCTCTATGACATCAAGAAACATACCTGATTTCTAACTTTTCAATGTCTTCCTCCTCTACCTGAAACTGGGACTTTTTGGTGTAGCTACTAGATCTGGTTACCTGTAAAATAAAATTCTTCAACAAATATCCTTTACAAACTCAAAAGTTTTCCCTCCCCACATCCTTTCTTGTAAAAGATATTTTCAAATGATGTCCTATCCTGCATACAAATATGGAGAAAATTTTATTAGTCCCATTCTTTGTTCAAAAGCTGAAACTAAAAATAATGAAACAGATAAGCAACAAGGAGATTGGGATTATGCTCCTAAAATACATGGGAAACATTCCTTATTTGATCCATTTCTCTCTATATATACTCATCCCTATCTTGATTTCACCCATTCCTATTCCTCTAATTATTATTTCTGTGTGCATAATCCTCATTCATGCCCTAACAAAAAAAAAAAGACTGAAATAAACAAAAATCTCTAATGCATTAGTATTTCAATTTCCCATGTCATTCTCAAAATACAGGTCCAAATTTACACCTGTTTATTGGATATTTTCTCTTAGATATCATGCTAGCAATCAACTAATGAGCATTTAATAAGAGCCTATTTTTCATGCAAGTCACTATGTGAGAAGCACAAATACAAAAGTAAGACCCTCAAAGTTTGTACCCTCAAAGAGCTTACATTCTACCCAGGGAATTACACAGAGGGGAAGGGCTTCCAAGGAAGGGGGTTCTGGTCCAGTCAGATGTGAAGCAGTAGGTTGTCTTGTTCTTTCTATGATACTATTGACTTATGTTCCAGAATAAAAGGAGAAAGATAAAGTAGGGGATATATAAATGCTGTGACAGGGCAAGTGGCAAGATGAGATCTAAAGCATGGTCTGGAGCATTTAATCTCAATATAAACATTCATTCCACAAGTATTTATTTAGCATCTACTATGACAAGGTAGAGAAGGAGATATGATGACAGCTAAGACCTTCATTATCCTTAAAGTGCTAAAAATTTAGTACAGGAGGTAACTGATGGATACAGATTTGCATAAAAGGTATAGAATGCTAAAAGGATTCAGTCCAGGGAAAGAATTATTCATTTTTTTTTGTTGTTGATGGATGAAATGGAGAAAAGGAATCAGAAGTTTCGTGAAGAGGAAAGCATTCTGACCTTGAAGGACAGGAGTTAAACAGGTGGCAATTAAGGCAGCAGAGGGCACTTTGGAGTGAGTAAAGAGTCCGAGGGAAGGCACATTCAGGCAAGAGTAAGTAGTCTAATTGACAGGTAAGTAAGACATGTCCACAGAAATGGCAGACAAGTCAGGAGACACAAGTTCAAAGTCCAAATTTGCCATTAACTAGTTAGGTGACAAGAGGTAGGCTATTTAACATCTCTAGCTTGAATTTTCTCATTGCAAAATGAGAGGGCTTAACTAGATGATCTAGCCCCAAGCTCTAAAAAACTATCATTATTTTGGATAGTGAAAAAAATTCTAAGAAAGGTAGAATGAATTACATACTAAGGAGTTCAGATTAATTTAGTAAGCCATAAGAAACAATTAATGCAGATGACACAAAGATAAAAATGACAGCTAAAGCGCTAGATGACAGGACACAAAAAGATACTGACGCAGATTACAATAATGGGCCAATTTAGTAAAATGAAGTTTAATAGGGACAAATATTGAGTCCTCCATTTGGGCTCAAAAAATCAGCTTTACAGATGTTGGTTGGAGAAAGCATAGTTAGACAACAATTCACCCAGAAAAGATCTGAGGGCCTGAGTAGACTGCAAGTCAATAATTCAATAATGTAATAGGGCAGACAAAAAGTCACTGTGAGCTTAGGCAGAATTGATAAAGACATAATACAGAATGTCTGGAACAAAGGAGGTCTTACTCCCAATTATCCACTGCTCTAGTTAGACAACATGTGGATGATTGTAGTCATATTCATTTCTGGGGACCACATTTTAGGAAGGACATCAATAAGACAGAGGATCCAGAGAAGGGCGACCAGGACAGTGAATGACTCAAATCATATGAGGATAAGTTGAGAGAACTGAGGATACTTAGTCTTGACATAACAAGGAGGGGTGGGGGGCAGCTAGGAGGCGCAGTGGATAGAGCACCGGCCCTGAGTTCAAATCTGGCCTCGGACCAAACACTTGACACTCACTAGCTGTGTGACTCTGGGCAAGTCACTTAACCCCAACTGCCTTTAAAAAAAAATTAACAAGGAGGGGTGGAGGACTGTTGTGTGGAAGGGGGCTTCAACTTCTTCTGTTTGGCTCCAGAGGGGAGAATTTGGAATAATGGGTAGAAGCTACAAAGAGGCACATTTATGCTTGATGTAAGGGGAAATTCCTTAAAATGGAGCTATCCAAAAATGGACTGGACTGCTTGGAACTAGTAGGTTCCAGCTCACTGCAGGTCTTCCAGAAGGTGCTGGATGACCACTTGATAAAGATGTCTAAAGAGGATTCCTCTTCAGGTACAGGCTGAACTAGTTGAGAGTTTGCATGAATTTGGATGGGAAAATAACTACATCTTTATTTACACTAACCTCTAAGTGAAATTTTGTATTGTCTTCAATTACTCAGAAAATTCTTCTGCGAAATGGTCCCTAGGTTTCACCTGCCTGCCAAAGGTGATTATCACACAAATAAAAGTTTACAATGGCCAGGTCAGAGAGAAGCTGCTCTCTTCTGAATATGAGATCCTGTCACTTGATCTCTGATTGGTCACATGGGTCAGAATCCACAGCTTCTGCCTCCTAGTCCGGCACTCCCTACTACAACAGGCTTCTTCCATTCAATGAAAAACTTCTGCTGCCTCTACTATGTGCAAGGCAGTGCACTAGAGATGATGGGAATACAAAGGTTATGAGAGACCCATGACAGCTAAAAAAGCTTATTATTGAAACTACACAAGAGGAGGACAGAAGGATCTTTAGAGATCACTGTGGCTAACGCCCTCGACTTTCCAGATGGAGAAAATGAATTCCACACAGTCCAAGTGTGACTAGTTCAAGACAATATGGCAATTAGTGACACAGCTAGGATCAGAACCTCCCACTTTGATGCTGCTTCTACGCTATTGTAATACACATCGATGTTCATTTAATGAGGAGGAGGGAGAAGCTTTCCTCAAAGACCGTGTCCTACACAAACCCTGTCCTGGCTCCTCCAGGTGCTAGAACCAATACCACCAAACTACTTTTTATATGTCTTGTTACTGATTTATTGTGAACACAATATTCCTCCTCTTCCCCTACAGAATATAAGCTCCCTGAAGGCAGAGACTTTCATTTTTTGTTTTGAAACTCCAGCCCCTGTGCACAGTGCCTGGCATGTAATAAATGGCTTCTGAAAAAAATCTACCCTTACAAATTTTCATCCTATTTAATTCGGTCCAATGTTCTTGCCTGTCAGGATCTCTTTCAAGTCTGCTTCTGTAATCCAGAATATAAGCTACCCTTCCCAGCTTTCTGTCATGTGCAGATCCAGCAAGCATGTGCTTTATGCCTCTATTCAAGCCAATTATAAAGATGTTAAACAGCCCAGATCCCTGGTGCACTCCCCTGGAAATCTCCTTCCAAATTAATATGGAACAATTACTGAATATTCTCTGTAATTATTTAGCAAATTTTGAAACCACTAAACCGTGTATTATTGTCCAACCTATATTTTTCTACTTTTCCATAAGAATGGCAGAGAATGCTTTTAGAATGCGACACTCTTTAACCCCCCTAAATCCTCAAGCCTTCCCTCTGTTGATTGTTTCCAATTAGTCCAGTGTGTATGTTGTCTCCCTCATTAGACTGTGACCTCTTTGAGAGCATGGACTATTTTTTGTCCAATGCATAGCATAGTGTCTGACACACAGGAGGCACTTAATACATGTTTGTTGACTGAAGTTTAATCCTGAGCATGAATGAAGCAGAATAACTTCGTTTTATAAACAAAATTTATTTAATGATAAGTAATGACCATATAATTTTGCTTACTTAAAAATGATAATTATCCTTACAATAGAGCCTATGAAACTTAAATGCGTGAAATATTATTAAGACCAATTCTCAATATTAAAAACAAACAACCTGAGTAGTTATATAGAAAAAAGTTACCTACCTCAAAATAAAATATTTCATTAAACTGTGGATTGCTTGTTTTCTTCTTTACTTTTGTCTTCTTCTGGTCATTCCTGTTTCAATGTGGTAAAGTTTAACTTCGTAGAACTTAAAAATACACAATTATAAAACATGCTATTTTCAACCAGGGAACCCTTTGTTTGACTTTTAAAGTCAATGGGAAACTCAGGATGAGAATAAAAATTCTTACATTCTGGCAAGTTAGAAATATTACCTGAAGTAATTTGTGAACAGAAAAATTACTTCTTCATGAGGAGTGAAAGAAAGGTGGCTTGGTACAGTGGAAAGAGCACTGTGAAAGTAGAGGATATGGATTCAAATCCTGCCTTTGGTACTTGCTGCCTTTGTGACTTTAAGCAAGTCATCTAACATCTTTGGGCTTTGGTTTCTTTGTGTGTGAAATGAAAGGTTAGATGAGAATGCCTCGGAGCACCCATATGTAAGTCTGGCAAATGTAAAGACGGCATTGATGGGATATTCCCTTACCCTGTCTACATACTATATCTATGTTCAAGTTTTAGCCCAATTTTTTAGTAGATAGCATGATAGAGACAGCAGCAATGGTAGCCACAAACTGTTAAAATAACTAAGGGAAACTCTCCAGTGTGGTGGGTAGACTCTCGGGGAGGCGGGGGTCTCAGGAAGTGCACGGACAGGAATCGTGCAGGAATTATCTCCTCTGCATTTCTATCTTTACTGCCCAGCACAAGGCCTGGCACATAGCAGGCACTTCATAAATACTAGCTGAGTGACTGATGGAGAAGGCATGGATGGGCCACTCTCCATGTTGATGAGAGGGTACTGAGGACAAGGCATGGGTTGGTTACCTGTCAGCTCTGCTAAAGTACAACCTAAGTGAGAGCAAAACAATTTTATAATGTGACATATATCAAATGACGTCTGGCAAGCAAAGATCAACAAAATGTAAGTCAGTTTTACTAAATTGGAAATTAAGAAAACTCAAATACGTTTAAGCCCATTACGCTGGTATTACAGGATTACATCTACTTTGGTAGCTTAGTGGTATCTTTGCAGATTTTTAAATAAACATAGCTATATTTAAGTAGATACAATTTAGGTTTAAAACATTTTTAGTTTTGGATTTTTTGTCCCCTGGTCTTTTTTCATGTGGTTAGTGATTTGTACCAAAAAAACTGCCACTAAAAGAGCTTCAAAAGAACCTAGCTGTGACTCCATTTGTAAAGCAACATTGTATGTGCAATTATGTAGTAATTTTGTGAACGTGAATTTTTTCCCCTTTACACAGGACTACTACATACCCATTATAGTCAATATAAGCAGGTGTGCTCAATGCATTAGTAAAAGTAATTATACAAATCTGAATTTAATAAAGATAATAATATATTAATAAGTATAATTATAAACTGCATTGAAATAATTTTCCCTTTAGAAAAAGGAATTCCTGCAAATGTCCTTTGAATTCTTTTAGTTTAATTGTGACTTACAGAAATTAAATTTATGCACAGCTTTTAAGAAGTTAACTATGTAAAATGAGGGTACACACCTGTAAGGAACATAATAAAGCACTTTATTCAGTTAAAGAGTGCTTCATGGGCTCATAAATTATAATACCATGCAGGGACCTTAGAGATACATTTGCCATACAAATATTTACCAGTGGCTGTTAAGTCATTAGCAAAGGAAGATGAGATACAAAAATCTATTTGTTACTTTGTGTTATTTTGGTCTCCATCTCCCCTCCTTTAATTTCATTATTAGCAAGACCTGGTAATTATTTCCAATTTATCCTGTACATGGCCTGTTTGTACATAACTGTTTCCATGTTGCCTCTCCCTTAGACTGTGTGCTCCTTGAGGGCAGGGGATGTCTTTTGGCTGCCTTTGTATCCCCAAGGCATGGAGTAGGCACTTTAAAAAATGTTTGACTGACTACGTTTCCAAAATTTTAAGTAGAACAAACTTTCATTTACACAGAGTGGGTGAGGGCTGACATTACCCTATAAAAAGAAATTTTCTATAAAAAAATAAAAAATTTAAATATATTTAATTATCGTGGTTTTTTTTCCCTAAAAACACTTTAAGTAGTAGTATCTACTTTGTATATGTTCTGAGCTTCTAGAGAAAAATCTTTCAAGATAAGAAAGGAGGAAGTGGTTAGTTAGGAAGAGGAAATAGCTACAAAGAAAATATGAGAAATGTCTCGTATAGAAATGTTTGTTTAACTGACTTACTGAAAGTGTCTCAGTTCAATGTTATATAGAGGATGGGAAGACATTTAAAAAATATATATATATATATATATATATATATATATAATATATATTTATCCCATCCCCCAAATATTAATTTAAAAATATCAGATTTTTAAAAAAATGTCTTCCCACCCTCCACATAACATTGAACTGAGACATTTTCAGTAAGTCAGTTCAACTATATATATACATATATATGTGCACACATATATGTGTATATATATGTATGTGTATATATATACACACACATATATATGCACACATATATACATATATATGTGCACACATATATGTGTATATATATGTATGTGTATATATATACACACACATATATATGCACACATATATACATATATATGTGTATGTATATATATAAAAATAAAAAAAATCTGGGACTCCAGCTTGTCTACAGTTGAGCCTAGATTCACCACCCGCCAAAGCATAAGGCTTACCAGAAATAAAGTCATCTCTTAGTATTATGTTCTGGGTTACTTTGAAGTAGATAATATAGAAAAAACCTTCGTAAAATAAACTGGAACATTTATTAAAATAATATTCTACCTGTACAGTATCTGTGAAATTTTAATGTAGGCTACTTGATCCAACACAAATCTTCAAAGCACTTTAATTAGCATAAAATCACTAACATACTCAGAGCTGTTGCAAAGATCAGTCTAACAGATCTGAAATGGCAATCACCTTTGTTCTTTAGAAAAATTGGACTTTGTTGTATGACTGGTAAAAAAAAAAAAGAATTCACTTTGGGTTATTTTTAAAAATAAGTATTCATTTATTCAAGTCTCTAGTAAAAGACTATTAAGCTATTTAACAATTTCTCTTAGTGACCTAATTCTGTATCTTCTAACCAGAAAATTCCATACTTAAGAACCGTATATTTAAAAAAAAAATCTTACCTTGAAGGTCCCACAAGAGAAACTGTAGCATAAGGATCACAGCTCTGTCCATTTATGAGAGGCAATCCATGGCATGCTTTGATACTAAAAGAAAAGAAATAATTTTTGTAAAACTGACAAATCATAAATCAAGATAAGAGAGAAAATATTATTTTTTAATACACAAAAGGTTTACAGCTATGTATTTTATTTGTATACCATGTACCTGGATTATATATATTGTTTCCATAAGATATAACTATAACAAATGATTATAAAGAAATCCTATGTGCTGCATACTGCATTACACTGAAAGTACCAAAAATGTCAATTAGTGAGCATCCAGACCTCAATATTATTCAATACACTACTCTTAAGTCTTTTAAAAACAAAAGCTGCAAATAAAAAAACATTCAGGGACATTTGTGGTGTGACACTATATCAAACCCACTGACGTTTTTAAAGAAAAAAAGACAAAAAACAAGTAGCACACATTTAAATTGCGTGAACTGCCAAACCAATATATAGCGTCATATCCTTTACCAAGGTGTGAATGAGATATAAGGAAACAACTGTGGTTTCAACCTTTAATTCATAAATATGTGGGTAAGCTTGCATGAGAAATAACCTTTTCAACCAAATAACATCTTGCATCACCACACACAATTATGAAATTTTTTATTTTGTACCTTGGTAACAGTTGGGGTTGCATTTTTTTTTTTTTGCAGAAAGTATTTTCAACCTTAAGAAACAATGTTTTATCATTACAGTTGGTGAATTATAGAGTAGTGACTTGCCACCAAGATCTTTCTGAAAACTTGCTGAATCCATGAGGTCAACTTCTGAGAGCCTGCATTTCTTAATGAATACTGGGTGTGGATAGGGTAGTCTGTGATGAAAGATGCTGCCCCAAAAGCAGACTAAGTGGGGAAATATTCTCACTCCTCTTTATCCACCACAGAGGTGGGATAATACTCCGCTGAAGGGACACTAAAATAAAATATGAAAAACATTTTCTGAAGTAAAAGAAGTCAAGCATAATCCCAGATAATGGGTTCTAGTCTTTAGTTCTAAACTTTTGCAGATTCAAAAAACTTCCCAATACTCTATGCTACCTGACCAGTCAGTCCTAAAATGTCACTCACTTCCGCTGAGCGAAATCACAGCAATGTCTGATCATATTATGTTAATCTCATAAAACAAAATTTATCACAGGTTAACCTCAAATTAAGGAAGACATAATGAATTATATGGTATATACTCAACACACAGAGTTACATTCTCATGCAAATATATGAAGGATTTCAGATAATCCATTTTGATGTAACAGTTAAATGGCAAAATCAAAACATTAGAATGCCATCATTCTAGGTCTTTTTCAAGTCTACTATGAGAGAAATGTAGTGTATATAGAATGGAGATTTTCAGAGAATGTACCATAAACTGAAAATGCTAAACAGAAAAATATTTTTTAAATGTTTTTATTTTGCTAGGCAGAAAAATTTAAATAAATTGTGTTCTCTTCCTTGATTTTAACATTAGTGAGATGAAATTATGAAATAACAAGATAATATGATGGTCATTTTAAAATTCTAAAAATACAGGAAGAACCAGTGATTTATTCAGTGTGGGGAATTCACAGTATGGGGGCTCCCTTTACCAAGGCAGATCACAACCTCAGACTCAGTAGAGCAGGCCCAGGAAGGTGTTTGAGGCACACAGAGGGTAACTGAGTTGGGAGACGGGAGTGGGACACAGGGGCAAATAACTGAGTGCCAGAGGCAGGATTTTAACCCAGATCTTCCAAGGCCTGGGCTCTATCCACTATACTTCATTAGAAAATCAAGAAATAAGAAACATAAAAGATCTTTTTTACAAGTGTTTTATAGATCTACTTAACTTAGTGAGTAGCATAATTTTACATATACACACTTATCTGAAATATTATGTCATGACATTTTTCCTGGGGGAATAAATTGTCTTTCTAATCTATAAATCAAACCACAGCATGACATTACAAGTATCTGGGTAGGACATACCTTTTTCCCTAATGCTTTAAATCTAATGGGCACTACTTTGTAATTTGTTTACTTTTATGTCACTAAATACCTGAGCCCCAAGTTTTAGTTTCTCTACCTCAGGCAGTGGCAAAAAAAAACCCCAAGAATAACCAAAAAAAACCCCATAAACTTGTTTCTTTTTATTTCTTTTTGAGTCAGACAGTCTCTAAACAGAACTCTGTGAATCTTAGTTTTCCTAACTAGAAAATCAAGAAAACACGTAACTTCTTTTCACTTGATCCAATGATAATATATGTTAAATGAAATAGAAATGCAAATTATAGGGGCAGCTAGGTGGTGCAGTGGATAGAGTCCCAGCCTTGGAGACAGGAGGACCTGAGTTCAAATCTGGCCTCAGACACTTGACACTTACTAGCTGTGTGACCCTGGGCAAGTCACTTAACCCCACTTCCTAGCGCAAAAAAAAAAAAAGAAAGAAAGAAATGCAAATTATTATTTCTAAAATCACATTGCCTAAGAAAAAAAGAGGGAAATAAACTCCATACAAAGAATTCCTTTTTCTTTCTTTCTTTTTTTGGTGAGGCAATTGGGGTTAAGTGACTTGCCCAGAATCACACAGCTAGTGAGTGTTATGTGTCTGAGGCAGGATTTGAACTCAGGTTCTCCTGACTCCAGGGCCGGTGCTCTATCCACTGTGCCACCTAGCTGCCCCAGAATTCCTTTTTCTTAAAAAGAAAAAAATTAAGTAGCAAATAAATGTCCATGCAGAAAACATTCTAATTGCTAATTCCTGGATCAGCTGTAAATTATTGAAGACCAGATTTATGTTTCAGATACAGGCTGTACCAGATATGGATAACTCTAAGGTTACCAACGACCAAATCTAAGAGCGTATGATTAATATATTTTAATGCAGCAAATGACGTGAGCTTCTGGGCACCTTTGTTTTGATTAGTTTCATAACACAATTCCAATTTGGGAGGGGTAATATCTGAGAATAATCATCACCTATTATAAATTAATAGAAGTCAATGAATTATGACACAAGTCATAGATTTAACTGAATAAATCTATTTTTGTAAGGAGAACACAAAAATTACAAGCACAACATATGGGGAGCTCCCTGACCTAGACTTTAATAAGATTTGGGCTAACTTCTTTCCTGTACTGTTTTGATCAATCTGCCTATTCTGGATTCTATCATTACAGATGATAAGACAGAAGAGTAACCAGCGGATGGAGACGAGGCTTAGAAGTCAGGACCTGCCTCTGATACCTACTAGCTTTGACCTAATACAAATTACTGCACACTCCGTGCCCCAAACAACTCTTAAAGGCTCTAAGTTGCTGGGAATATGCCTAGAATGAAATCACAAGTCTCCTTCCTTGCTCCCCCTCCAACAATGAAAAGAAAGATGTCAGGCAAGCCCTCATTTCCTGCCAAACAACCAAACACTACATAGGCAAGTATACACATATGTACTATTAAATCACTGGCTTGTTTTTAGGATGAATATTTTTCCATTTATATTTTCATACATCTTTCTTCACAATTCATTTAGTGAACATCTATAAATACACAATACTTTGAATTACAAGAAAACAAAAACACACCACAACCCAGAAGAAAGCTGAAAATGACTCCATTTGTTTCACACTGAAAGATTCAAAGTTTTACATGCTTAGGTGTATTTGCTAGAACTAAGAGGTTTATGGTTAGGTATCATGTAAGAAAGTTTACTACTTAGAGTCTTTTGAAAACATTTCAGATTTTAATGAAAACTGGTAAGAAATATAGCTTAAGAAACCACCATTTCCTTTCTCACTGTTTCTAGTATCAACAGTACTTGTTTAAACAGGTCAGGTGGTTGCTATCTCAATTGCTTACCATCTTGTCTTTTCATTTTTATCCCTTTTGGTCCTGATTTTGAACTTTGCTCTAATGAGTTAGTTATGATCTGACTGTACAGATAGACAATTCAGAAATGACTCCCACATCAGTAAGCAGTCATTTCCTGTTTTTTAAACTATAACCAATTCATTTTTTGTGATATTGCTTATTGACCATATTCAACGCCTCCCAAGGCTCACTTTAAAAAAAAGCATTCATGATACATAGGCATGAAGTTTCAGTCTCTGCTCTTGTTTGTTACTCCTGAATTACATTTTGCCAATATCTGAAGGTGCGGGGGGCAGGAAGTAGGGGTGCATAGGGCACAGACAAAAGTTGTATGGGAAGGGAAGGCCCATAAGGGAGGAATAGACAGCATCACTGCATGAACATAGTGTACTGCAGGCACCACATTGATAACCGGTTCACCCAAAGCATTACTAGGACACAAAGAAACAATTCCTTATAGGAACAACAACTCAATCCCAAATTACAGATCAAAAAATGGGATATAAGAATTCTAGCTGGAAATGGGATACTATAAATAAGAAATAGCACATCGCAGCTACAAAAACACATATTGTAATTCTTGTCTTTCAACTTTGGAAATACTCTTGCTTATATAACCCAAGTTTCCAATTTTATAATAGGAAGACATTTATCTCCTCTGAAAAACGTTATCTTAGCACAAATCTTATTGATGACACAGTTGCAGGCACTGTGTAGATTTGGAGGAATATATTAAGTAGGGTATAAAACCAACAAGTAATGATAATGGCAAGGCAGAGTTGGGGGAAACATCCAGGTGTGAAAGAATGCAAAGAGTAATGGTAGTGGAATGGCAAGAAACCAGCAGCAGTCAATAGCCTTGTTCTGGACCACTTCAGGTGACATCTGTAGAAGGGGAACTCATTACAAAGAATAAAGACACAAGAGGACTTCTTCCACTCCCTCAGAGTATGCTATCTTATTTTTAGGCTTTCTATTGCACCACACGGAGACAATAAGAATATTCTGAAAGTATATGGTTATTCATGATCTAAAACTGTTTTCTTATCTAGAAAATGAAGGGGACTGACTGTGGTATTTACAGTACCTTCCAATTCTGATATTCCATAATCTATAATTTATGAATTAGAAAATAAGAAAAAGGCATACAATTACCATTTCAAATGAATTTGATATAAACTAAC